GTTATCTTTGGAGTGGTTTGAAGAGTACCACTTGTCCTCGGTTAAGGCTTTGCCGAAACTTTCTTTGGATCAGTATCCTCTTCTACTTTCTACTGGAGTGCTAAAAGGAGGTCCTAAACCTTTAGGCTGGACCTGAGTTGGCTGCAAGAGAAGGAGGTTGTTGATATCATTACAAGTGCATGGGTGAATACAGTGGTGGAAGGATCCTTAGATTTTCAGCTGCATAGAAAACTTCTAAACATTAAGCACAAACTGATTTGCTGGAAAAAAGAGAATAAAGTTGATATAAAGGCTAGAAGTGATGAGCTGATGTCAGATTTAGAGGCTATGGATCTAGGTACCCAGAATGCCGGAGTCCTTTCAGAACTGGCCCTATTGGAGCGTAACTTGAAGCTTCAGGAGCTGAAGGAGCTTCGTAAATGTGAAGAGATCTACTGGAGGCAAAGATCTAGAACTAAATAGCTTAAAGAAGAGGATCTAAATACTAAATATTTTCATGCAATTGCTAGCTCAAGAAGGAGGCAAAATGATATATCAGGTTGGTCTATTAATGGTGTTGATTCAGAGGATGAGAGAGCAGTTGAAAATGAAGTGGTTAATCACTTTAAGAAGGCATTTACTTCAAAGGTTAAAGTCTCCCCTTCATTGAATAGAGTCCCTTTCAAAAATCTCTCTCCCCAATTTAATCGTGTTTTAGAAAGAGAGGCTACTATGGAGGAAGTACAGAAAGTTGTCTTTGCTCTACCTAGCGATAAGGCACTAGGGCCAGATGGCTTTCCTTTGGCATTTTTTCATAAATTCTAGAATGTAATTAAAGAAGAAGTTCTAGAATTTGTTAAAATTTTTATGATTAGGGGTCAAAGTTTTAAAGGGGTAAACTCTACCTTTGGCGTTGATTCCTAAGAATGTGATGATCTCTAGTCTTCAGATATTAGGCCAATCAGTTTGTTGACTAGCCTATACAAGATTGTTGCTAAAGTATTGGAAGAGTGGTTGAAAATTGTTTTGCCTTTTCTTATCAAGTACCCAGTCAGCTTTCATCCAAGATCGTCAAATCATAGATAGTGTTCTGTTGGCCCAAGAATGTGTGCATTCTAGAGTTGTTAGTAAAGAGCCAGGGATTCTATTTAAGTTGGATATGGAAAAGCTTATGACCGGGTAAAGTGGGTTATCTTTCTTGAAATCATGAGGGTTATGGGCTTTGGGGCGAAATGGAGATCTTGGATTTTTGGGTGTCTTTCTTCAGCTCATTTTTCGGTATTATTCAAAGGTAGCCCAATCGGTTATTTCAAAGCTTCCAGAGGTTTGAGGCAAGGGGATTCCCTGTCTCCTTTCCTATTTACAATCTATGCTAAATGTTTTAGTTTAATACTAAATAGGGTGGAGAATTTGGGTCATTTTACTGGATTTAAAATTGTTAACTCATATATTATAATTTCACATCTTCAATATGCTGATGATATCTTAATTTTTTGTGAGGCAGAGTCCTCTCAAGTTCATATTGTCAGGTTTCTGGATATCTGTGAAGCTACTGTAGGACTTAAAGTCAACTTTCATAAGTCGTCAATTGTTGGGATTAACTATTCTGAGGAGTTGATAGAGGAGTTAGCAAGCTTGATGGGATGTAAGGTTGGTTCTTTTCTTATTACTTATCTTGGACTCCCAATCTCTGATTCGAGATTGTCTATTGTTGTATGGGACATTGTGATAGAAGAGTTCAAATTAAACTGGATCTATGGAAGTACAAATATCTCTCTTTTGGTGGAAGGGTTACACTATTGAAATCATGTTTAGCTAACTTACTAGTCTATCAAATGTCTTTGCTAAATATGTCTGCCTCAGTGGCACGAAGATTAGAGAAAATGATGTGGGACTTTTTGTGGGGTTCTAGTTCTGATGGGAGGAAATTCCATTTACTAAGATGGGATAGGGTTTGCATACCAAAGAAATAAGGGGGTTTGGGAATACAAAATATAATGTTGTTTAATATGTAAATGGTGGTGACGGAGCTTGAAATTTAAGAATCACCTTTGGTTTAAAGTTTTATTGGCTAAATATGGGGTTGATAGGTTCCAAATCTGGCTGAGGAATCGACAAGGGAAGTAAGTGTCTCAGGTTTGGAAGGCAATCTTTAGATGGAGACTGATTGTTTCAAGTTATTTTAAGTGAAATGTAGGAAGTGGTAGTCAAATCTCTTTGTGGCACCATAAATGGATAGGAAACTACCCTATGAAATCTGCTTTCCCTGATCTTTTCGGGTTGGTTGCACAGCCGGAAGTGATAGTCCAGGATGCTTTAGAAAGAAGGGGTATGCAAATTTCTTGGAATATCTCTTTGGTGTATGGTCGGTTGAGTAATAATCTTCTTTCTCAATGGTGTGCGCTAATGGAAGCTTTGGATAAAGTTTATGTTGCTATGGATGTGGAGGATGAAATTATTTGGGAGATTGAAAATGATGGTATGTTTTCCGTTAAATCTTGTTATAATCTATTGTTTCATGATAGAGTTCGATGGTCTAATCTAGTTGTAGCTATTGTTTGGAAATGACTGATTCCACATAATGTGTAATGTTTTATCTGACTAGCATCTTCGAATAAGATTTTAACGGTTGACAATTTGATAAAAGGGAGAAAAATCCTACCCAATGTATATTTACTTTGCAAAGAGGATGGAGAGTTGGGGGCACACTTGCTTATTCAATGTTCCTTCACTGCTCGCATTTGGCATTGGTTATTTGTAACTGTTGGGGTAAGTTTGGTGCTTCCCCAATCAGTTGAAGGAGTTGTTTCCCAACGCTTTATCACCCATTTACCTGCTATAGGCAATATTTTATGGAAGATCTCAAAAGGTATGATTATGTGGGAAGTTTGGAAGGAGAGGAATAGAAGAATTTTAAAGGTAATTCCATTTCTTTCGATAAATTATTAAGCAACATCAAGCACTTGATTTGGTTATGGTTGTCTGTGAGAAAAGAAGGTTGGGGAATTCCAAAAACAGATGTGATGACAAATCTTAGCCACTTTTCCCTCCTTGGTTGTGTTCGCAACAGGCCACGTTGTGTTTGGACTGCACCTACATTTGGTTGTATTAAACTCAACTTTGATGGGAGCTCGCAAGCCAACCTTGAGATTGCTGGAATTGGTGGAGTTGTGCGTGATTCCCAGGGCGCTATAATTTTCTCCTATGCGGCCCGATTGGAATCAAAACATCAAACTATGCCGAGTTAAGTGCTCTTTTGTGTGGAATTAAAATTTTGGTGGAGAGGAATCTGTGCACAAATGTTTGGATTGAAGGGGACTCTTTGAATGTGATTAAGTGGTGCAAAAAAGAAAAACAGGTCTCTTGGGAACTCAGGTCTCTTTGGTTGCAAATTATGGATTAGGTTGCTTCCTATTCCTATTCCTATTCCTTTTCCTTTTCTCATGTGTATCGTGAAGCAAATTCCATTGTGGACTTTCTGGCTAACCGTGGTGCTTTGTTGCCGTTGTTACTTAGTTCCTCTGATGTAATATCTTTTTCATAGTCATCAATAAAATTTCTTAATATTTGTCAAGAAAAAAAATTTGTTAGAAATTAATCTGTGAGCCCGCAGAGCCACGGGCTCGCATCCCTCAAGTCTCACTTGACAAAGTAGATAAGAAACTTTACAAGTTGATCATCTCCACCTCGATGATTATGGATTTGGAAAAAAAATGAGGAAATTCTTTTTTCAAGTTCAGTAAATAGTGCCTGTCTCTCTCGTATGTGGGGGCGCACAAATCAAGTCGTGAAATTTTCTTTTGTTCCATGTTCTCATTATTTTGCTCGGACACGTTGAGTCTGAGATAGAATGGAGGCCACATCATATATAAGAGTTGTGGCTGAGGCATGAGATCAGATTTTGAAACTTCGGTCCCAGCATAGTGTTTTAAAACCTTGTATTCCGAATTGGGAAGCGCCAATTGATATCCGAAATAAAAAATTGGTTGAAACCTTCAAAGAAAATATAAAAAAAATGTGCGGCTTGTATAGAGCCGAGGCTCTAAACAATTAAATTAAAACCCACCTACAAATAATGTCAAGAAATATAGTTTCAATACTCGAAAGTGTTGATAAAAAATTTGTTGAAACCAAACTAGTTCAAAGAAAATAAAAAAGAGGGTGCAATTTGTATAGAGCCGAGGCTATAAACAATTAAATTAGAGCCCACCTTCAAATAATGTCGAAAAATATGGTTTCAAAACTAGAAAGTGTTATGATAACCTTAAATTATATTTACATCTTTAGTTATAAAATTTAAAGCTTCAAAAATAGTGTAGATCAAACATATCTATGAAAACTTAAAAATATCGAAAATTGACGTCCAAAATACGTTACAAGATGCACTATTTTCAAAACTTGAACTCTATTTTTTATGATATTTGAACATCAAAACAACCTCTTCTAGTAAAAGTTTTGAGGTAAGCTCTAATTTGATTGTTTAGAGCCTAGGCTCCATATAAACTTTTCCTAAAAAAGAAGCCTCATCTTTCTTTCCTTTTTTAGGCTTATTTAATTTTCTTAGGCCCCCAAATTCCCCCCTGTAAACCCCTATTTTATTTTCTTTTTAAATTTTTAATAAATTCCTAGATTATTGATATAGACCAGTACTTGGATGAACAATCCACCCGCCGATCCAGGCTTTATATGTCATATACAAATGTATAGAAACAAAAAAGAGATCGTACCCATGTGCAATAAGCAAAAACCCACATCAGCTTCATTATGTCAAACCCAATTTAAATTCCATACAAATGTATCAATATAAGTTTTATAATAAATACTCCCAACAACAAATGCCATAAAACCATATCAAAAGCCTCATTTGCCCCTTTATCTTTTATTACAATGCTCAATCTTTTGGGAGCATTTTCTCCAATCCTTTTTCAAAATTTTCTCCAAATATCACAAAAGAGAGCCTACTGAGAGTGATCCAGTTAGCAACAAACAAATGACCATTAGTTGAATCTTCCATAATAACAGACAGCAAACAATAAAATTGCAAATCACCTTAAACTTTGTATCCTAATGTCACAAGGCCACACGGATAATGAAAGAAAATAACAAATTCACTGAAGGGAAAAGAAAATTTGACACTGAAGCATCTTAGAATCTGGAAAACATCCAGATCAGAAAACTTGAGGCCAATAATCCTCAACACATCACTAAAACAACAGCACAAGAAAAAGAACACCAGCAATTATATAAACAAAATGGTGGAAACCAAGTATAAACAAAAAATGACATGGAAAAAGATAAATTTACCATGAACTTCTGAGTAAGTCATGATTGAACCAAAGCTCAACGAAATGCTCATATATGTTGAAACGAAAATCTGCATCCCTCTGTTCAATCACCTGACAATTTCTTAATTTCCACCCAAAAATGGATGCTCAAGAACCAGTACTTTTTTGTCATCGTAGCCTGCCTTTAGGAGTTCTAGGGTGTAGCTGGAGAGAGAGAGAGAAAGAGAGAGGCGAAGAAGAAGAAGCAGAAGAAGACGACATAGAGAGATTAGCAGAAGCATGGACTTCATGTGCAGAGCCTCTTGATCAAATCCAAAACCAATAACTGTGAACAGAGATAAGATTATGGACCTTTGTCCTCAAATACACTTTTGGATAAAACATAACCCGATAACTGAGAAAGAGATGGAGATTAGGAGAGGATGCATGACTGTTCATTAAATCCTCTTGAACAAACCCCAATTCCAATACCAAGCACCAGATCCTCTTGACCAAAATCCAGATCCAAACTGATAAAGAAAGGCTAAATGATTAGAAGAAGCACGAGCTTCATCCAAATGACCAAAACCCAACTCCAATAAGTGGGGAAGAGAGTAAAGGTCGGGAGAGGCACAAGCTTCATTCTCACATCAACTTCACCAAAACCCAACTCCAATAACTGAGGAAGAGAGTATAACCGATGGTTTCATACACAGATCCTCTTGACCAAAACCCAACTACAATATCTTACGGAGAGTATTAATATCAGCATTGCACGAGCTTCATTCCCATATCGTCTTGACGAAAGCCCAACTTCAATAAATGAGGAAGAGCGTGAAGATCAACCACGGGCTTCATACCCAGATCCTCTTGACCAAAACCCAACACCAATAACCAACAAAGTGGAAAGAAGATTAGCAGAGGGGTGGAATTCGTACCCAGATCCTCTTGACCAAAACCCAAATCCAAAATCTGAAGACCCATCAACCATTAGTAGAACTGACAAACAGTTTTCATAAGATAGAATCTTCGAGAACAGCTGGCATTCCCATATGGTGTAAATTATGAACACATATATACACATCCATCTTTTGAACCCCTGCTTTAACCTGAAACAACTCTGTTAATAGTGTGTTGTACCCACTCAGCAGTTTCTTTGATCTGAGGATCATCAGAAGACAGGCACTCGTCCACAAAATCTTTGTAAAACACAGATTGGCGCAACAATGGAACAGCACTAGAATCCAATGTATCCACTAGGTCGCCGAGAACTCCAACAGCAGCTTTGGTGACCAGATCCTCCCTGGCGTTTCACAAAAGAAGCGTAATTAGAATAAAACATGTCAAGGTAAATATAGAAGCAAAAGAACAATGAAGCTTATTATTTAAAAAGAATGATCGACGCAAATTTTTCTTTTTCTTCAAAGAACAATTCGGGGACATTATTTCCGGTGTATGAGCATTGAATTAATGTTTTGGCAATTTTTTCATTTAAAATCTAATTAGTTGATAAGCTTTTAAGACTAAATTTCCAATTTTCCATCAAAATTCCAACATTCCTTTTCAATCAAAAAAACATATTGAAGATTGATTTGGTGGTGCAAAATACAAAACTTCAGACTCTCCACCTGGCCATAACCATTTCAAGAATGGACTTGCGAAATTTCATTTCTTTCCACGAAAAACCTTCTTATAGTTCACAATTATGCAGAATGCTAGTTTCAGCCACTTTTTGGTAACACCCAATAATACAACAAGAAGCCATAGCTCATTGAATAGTGTCATATGTACAAAAAAGTTTCTTGAAAAGTGGGTGCAAAAATTAGCGCCTTGACTGTTTAATATAGTAAAGTTAACCATCGAAATAAAGAAAGAAAGAAAGACTTAAATAAAGTCAATCATTTAATATCTAGAATGAAATTACAGTGAAAGGAGAGAACAGAGAGACGCACATGTCCTTTATTTGATAAATGCTCTCCAAGAACTGAAGAATGTAAGGAGAATAAGGTGTCATCAGCCCAGTCTTGGACGAATTCTTAAAACCTTGAAAAATCCCTGAGTAAGCTTCCAATATCCCATTTCTCAATTGGCTAGTATACTCGATCATCTCATCATCAACACTTGTGGCCTGAGCTGTTAGCTCTGCTGCACTTTGGAGCATGGGCATAGCATAGATCAGATATTTCTCAAAACTCTCGCCTATGGCCAAAGCAATATCTCCAAAGCACGAAAAGATAGGTGGTTTCACAGATCGGTGCAATTGGTTGCTCGACAAAGCCTTAAGAAGCTGCATCATAATGCCATCACAATATAGAAGGATCTTATCATCAAGGGCACGACAAATATCACCCACTACCCCCACAGTAATGGCACACACCTGATATTCTTCGAAATTCTGAAGACCTATCTCCAAATAACGATAAAAATCAGGCATATATTTTAAGAACTCTTGGCCAATAGCATATGCCAATGCACCTATTGCAAGCATGGCCTCCTCATGGACAGTGGCATTTCGGCAGGCAAAAACCCTAAAGAAAAGATTCATCAAGTGATTCGCATGCTGCATAAAGCCATATTTTGTAGATTCTGAAGCCCCCAACTTCTGCACTATGACTTGCAGGCAACCACAAAGTAGGCCTTGAAGCTCGTTTTGTTTTTCTCTCTCTTCTGAAGATAACTTTGGGGTATCAAGCGTTGAGCTCAGCTCGAACATCAAGACTGGGACCAGTTGCATGACTAATGGGGCTGCTTCCTCAGTCGAGCATCTCACCACCTCATTCAATGTCTCATAAGCCGAGGTCCTAAGCCTAGAGTCATTGGCATCATCCCTATGAGCAACTACAAGAAGAGCCTGAACAATATTCTCAAAATAGGGTAACAAAGGGGAAGAAGCACTTCCCCCATCCTCATAACCTTGTGCAAGAAAGTAGAGGGCACCACAGCTCTTTTCAGCGACATTGGGGACATCTTTCATGCCCTCAATCAAAACCGAAAGAATGTGGTGGATGTTCACTTCAGTTATAATTGCGGTACCAATGTTGGGTCCATGCAAAAACTCAAAAATCCTCCCTAATGTCCATGCTGTGGTATCCTTGACATGATTATTAACGTCTTTCATGGCATTAAGTATGAAATTTAGGGCAACATTAACAAGGGGAGCTAGCTTATCTGGCGACGGTCCCTCCAATATAGAACCAAAGGCATAAGTAGCAGCCTCTCTCTGTCTCCAATCTGGTTTCGCTATGTTTTGCTCAACAAAGGGCATGACTAAAGGGACAATGTCATCACCTACGGTTCGAGCAACCAAGCCCAAGCAAGTTCCACCTGCCATTGCCAGATTCCAAGCCCCTTCATCCTGGTCCTGATCCTCCTCTTGCTTCAAGAGTGTCTCTAAAAGCATGGGAACCAAAGTTGGGAGAGCTTGCTTGATAAAGTAAAAGCAAGGAAGATCAGAATCCCCACTAAAATCTCCCCCATAATCCTCCTGAATTTCAATCTCCTCATCACATATTGAGCTCCAAAATTCAATGGCTTGCAGTGCAACTTGCTCTTCATCTTCTCTCACAGCCTTCACTGTTATGGGTAGCAATGCATTCTGCATGTATGGAGAGAGTTTATCATAATATAAAGAAGAGATAGAAACCAAGCACTCAAAGGCTGCCTGCCTCGTCTTTATCTCAGTGGATTGTGTCGCCTCACAAACAACTCTAATAATATAGTCTCTCTCCATGTTGTTCTCAAAGTTGGAGTGAGCAAATCCCAAAGCATTATATAAAGCACGTGTAGCAGCAAGCTTCACTTCGTTATTCTTTTCAATGTTCATTCCTTGGACAACAGCTGTAAGAATAGAATTAATTTGATCCTGAGCAATAACATCAGAGGATACTTCTTCACATAAGTAACCAAGTGTTTCTAAAGTTGCCTGCTTAAGGTGGGTAGGTGCTTGGACTTGTGGGCTTCCCATATTTAACAACAGGGTACTTATAAGTTCAGGCCATTGATTTTGGGGTAATTCAATTGTGGCTACCTTGGCTACTACTTGCGAAGAGGTAGAGCGTGCATCAGCAATTGGGGAAGAAAGCGTTTGAAGCAAGCACACTTTGATCTGATCCTTCACTGATTTATCAATTGATAACCATCTTCTTGCTAGTTCTGCCTTTCTAATATGGTCTTTGGCATCAAGAGCATTTTTTAGCATTAGACCAGCAAGCTTACGACTCTCTATGGGTTTATCATTGTTAGCTAGCTCTGCAGAGAGGGAGATAAGAAACGATTGTAGGTTGGTCTGTAGAAACTGATTCAACGTTTCTTCCGCTTGTTTCCTCAGTGTACCATCCACAGATTGGGCATTTAAAAGGATTTGTGTTACTTCCAAAGCCATTTCTACATGAAAAACAAGGGAAACAATTTCAATTTCTCCAAAAAAAATCATTTTTTTTAATATTTTTTGCAAAAATATTGAACACAGAGTATAGCAAATACAAGAACATGGATACAATCATAAGTCTGATATGGATATCATAAACCATGAAGCATGCTATAGTTGATACGAATGTTGTACTAGTGAAAAAAAGGGGAAATGAAAGCATAGAAAAAAGAGCGTGACAGAGATGCAACTGAGAAAAACCATGATATATTCAGACAATGCAGTGAGTGGAAAGCATAACTTCCAAATCACAACAAACAAAGTGAACATATTGATGCTTAATTATTCTAAACGAAAATTCCATCAAATGAAAATAAGAAAATGATAAAATGAACAATGAAAAGATTCAATAACAATTGATGCAGGGAGAAAATAACAACCAGAATAATTTAAAAAAATAATTAAAAAAACAAAAACAATGGTTGAGAGAATATACCCTCTCTCAAGGTCTGCAAAGGAATCCACCCCAACGAGAGAATACATCATCTCTCAGGGTCTACAAAGAATATACCGATTCAAAAAGCAGACCGCCCAGCGCCTAGGCGGTCCAGAAGGCCTGGGCGCATTGCCTAGGCCTAGGCGGGCGCCCAGTGCCCAGTTTTAAAGTTGTCGCCTAGGCGGTACGGAACCCGCTTCGGCAGGCGCCCAATGCCCAGTTTGAAGTTCATTTGAAACCTAAAACTTATTGGAGCCCATTTTGGAGAGAGAAATCTTAGTTTTTGGTGATTTTTTTAGGATCGAAGGGTTTCTCAAACTTGACAAAAATTGATCAAAACATCACCCATTGATATTAGATTTAATTTTTGATGTATTATAAATCTATTGAGTTTTTTTAGAAGATTTTGAGTCCTTAGAAGCATCTTTGAGGTGGAAGGTTGAAGATTGAGCAATCAAACTCAAAGTAAGTGCCCTAAATACCTAATTTTAATTTTTTTATACTATATATCATTTTTTTATTCAAATGGGCATCTTTTTTGGATTCAACTGGGCCGCCCTGGTTCTGGGCGCCCGCCTAGGCGCTGGGCCCAGGCCGCCTAGGACCCGCCTAGCGTTTCTTATTCAAATGGGCATCTCTTTTGGATTCGACTGGGCCGCCCAGGTTCTGGGCGCCCGCCTAAGCGCTGGGCCCAGGCCGCCTAGGACCCTCCTCGCGTTTCAGCGTAGGCGCTGAAGCAGTAAGTGCCCTAAATACCTAATTTTTATTTTTTATAATTTATATCATTTTTTTATTCAAATGGGCATCTTTTTTGGATTTGACTGGGCCCGCCCAGATTCTGGGCGCCCGCCTAGCGTTTCAACCTAGGCGCTGAGCGCAGAAGTGCCCTAAATACCTAATTTTTATTTTTTATATTTTATATCATTTTTTTATTCAAATGGGCATCTTTTTTGGATTCGACTGGCCCGTCCAGGTTCTAGACGCCCGCCTAGGCGCTAGGCCCAAGCCGCCTAGGACCCGCCTAGCGTTTCAACCTAGGCGCTGGGCGACCTGGACCCCAGGCCGCTTAGGACCCACATAGCGCTTTTTGAAACACTGACCCTCTCTCAGGGTCTACAAGGAGTCCACCCCAAAACGATCTTTTCACAAGATAAGATTATTCAATTCTCATTCTTCGATCATTCTCGAATGTATTTAGAATGAGGGACCTCTTCCCTTTAAATACACTTTCTTCTCTGTCTCACGTACCATCCCTACTTTCTCTCTTTCTAACTTCCACATTAGAGTAAAAGATAACTACCACTTAGTACTTCCTAAACGAATAGATCTTTACATTATTTATATGTTATTCCCTAAACTAAAAAGATGGACCTTCGCAAAACAAATCACGCACCCAACTAGGTGCTCTTAACTTATCTCTTCCTATCCCTAATTAAAAATAAAAAATAAATAAACCCCAATTTTTATTTGGATCAACAACCCAAAAGCATTTCAAACATGCTAATCTTCCAAGAACTTAACTAGCAGATTTCAATACTCCAAAAATTATACATAAAAATCATGATTAGAATTAAGGAGCTATAGACATGGTACAAAACTACTTCAAAACTTCAAAGAAATTGGGGAAGGAAAATTCTATCTCACTTCAGCCATAGGAATTCGATCACTAACAAAATTAACAAATTAAACTGAAGTTTCAAATGCTAAAATCACCAACTTTCCCAGCACACATAATTTAAGAAAAAAGGGAAGCATGTAGAATCCAGTAAATATAATTAGACAATAAAGTGAACCTCATAGCATTAAAATAAAAAAAATAACACCGACCAAATAAATGAAGAAACGTTTAATGAACGACATTTTCATCTTGTAATTATGATGAATGACATTTTATGATCATAGGATACATCAATGGGTACTAGTTAGTACAAAACGTACTTAACTCTAACGTCAAAATTTTAACCTTAAAAAACCAAATACATAGAAATCCAAAACAGCACAACTTAAGCCAAATAAACCGAACGAAGTTACCAACCCCCAGAAATCATAAATCCAAATCTAAATCAATTTTTCCAACACTAAACCTCATATAAATCCAAATCATGCTTCGTTTCTCCAATTAATTGAAATTATTCAACAAACAGAAAACCCCATCTTTGAAAACAATCAAGACTAACATTCACTTTGTTTTAATATTGTCTCTAACAAGTTTTTCACATTCAAAATTCACAGGTTACTACGAAAATCTCAGTTTAACCTATTATTCCTTGAAAAGAAAGAGAAAATACAAAAATTAATTCAACGAAATCGATTTTTCGTCCAATCAACAGAGACCATAATCAAAGCTAATAACCATTGAGAGAGAGAGAGAGAGAGAGAGAGAGAGAGAGCGAGAGAGAGAAACACATAGCAAGTAAACATGATGAAAAGGAAATTACGAGAATGAATTGTCCTCATATTACCACAAACAATGAACCACCAACTAAGTACAAAAAGCAGAGACTGTGAATTTGGGCAACTAAACTGAAAGAGAGAACCTTTTCATCAGAAAAAGCATAACTAATTTCAGAAAAAGTTCCAACCTTCTTTATTAGTGAGAGCATACGAATGGTTGAGATCAGGGGTTTTTACCCGCGGGAAAGTGAACAGAGAGGAACAAAATCAGTTTTAAACCCTAAAAATAGAACGGGAGTACGCTGTAAAGTGGGATTCTCTACATCTCTCTCCTCCCTCTCTCTATAGGATTGATACTTTTTTCCTCTTTTTCTCTCTCTAGGATCCTTTTATTAATGAAGGCTCGGGTCGGCTGAAAGAGGCTTTTTTTCCAAAATGACTAAATTCCCCCAACTTAGTAAGTTTCTTCCTTCATGTAAAGATAACGGAATATAAAACAGAAAACGGAGGAGAAGAAATGGGAAGAGAAAAAGATATTTTTGAAATGAAAAATTGTTTCATGCGGGCTGGACCGCATTTTTGGTTCAGAAAGTGTAAAGCATTTATTTTTTTAAGATGGATACAAGTAGATGTTCAATCTGAACCCAAATGTTTTTTTATTAGAATTATTATTTTTATTTTTATTTTTAAAAATTTAACAGTCCAAATGTTTTTTTACAAGAATTATTATTTTTATTTTTATTTTTAAAGTTTTATTTATTTTTTCATTTTCATGATCTCCATATTAGAGGCTGCATATCTTTAAAAATTAAGTCTTAAAATCCATCTCAAAAATAGATTTGTTAAGAGGCCTGTATTTCTACATATGCGGGCTTAGCCGTATAGAAAACGGGTCAAAAAAAGGATTTTTTTAAAGGGTGTGGTTTGTTTAGATCCGAGGCTCTAAACAATCAAAATAAAGCACACCTTGAAATAATGTCAAAAAATGTGGTTTCAATATTGGAAATCTTTGTGATAGTTTAAAATAAATTTTTTCATCTTTAATTATAAAATTTAAAGCTTAAAAAATAATGTAGATCAAGAGATCTATGAAAGCTTGAAAATTAATGGTCCAAAAATATGTTACAAGTTGCATTGTTTCTAAAACTTAAAATCCATTTTTTTTTCCCTCATGTCCCATGCATCTTGATCTCGAGAGAATCAATTTGAAGATATTTGGGCATCAAAATAACCTCTTTTAGTGAAATTTTTGAAGTGGGCTCTAATTTGATTGTTTAGAACCTCGGCTCTATATAAATTTTTGTCCTTTCTAAAATATTATTTTGATCTAGGTTTATCATGTCGAAAATCAGGGGATAAATGGTAATAGCATTTTCTAAAAAATGATTGCAGTTTTTTTTGAGAAATTCACTGAAATATCCTTTAAATTTACTGTCATTAAAAAATCTCCCTAAAAATCTTAATATTACATTCATATACCCTTTTTTGTATTTTTTTTTTTTTTCAAAATGCCGTAACTTCAGCTTTTGGAAGTTTTCTACCTCTCTCTGTTGCTAAACTCCAGAAAGAACTTCAGATTTTCAAAATTCAGATATTTTCTCTGTTTTTTTTGGTGTGCAATAATCAATAAAAATTCGGATTATGAAAAATCTGTAGGTTTATTTAGCAGTCAAAAAACACCAAGAAAAAAACTTTGGGGATCTTCAAACCACGTAGTCTTTTCTGTTGATGCACACCCAAAAAAAAAATCAATATTTTTTTCTATTGATAAACTCTAGAAAAAACTTTGAATTTTTAAAATCTAAAGTTTTTTCTGGATCTGTTTTGTTGTGTATCAACACAAAGCTTCAGATTTTCAGACTGTAATGCATTTTTGGGCCTCGAACGCCCCTAAGGCAAGGGTCAGCCTTTGAAAACTTAGAATTTAGAACTTCGGGTCACCAAAATTTTAAAACTTCTGATCATCAAAATTCGAAGTACGGACAATCTCATCATGTTTTTAGAAAAGCAAGAAAAACTTAGTTTCCTTCAGCATTTTCTCTGTTTATTTGCGGGATCGTTTATATATGTCAAAGCTGGGAAAGAATATTCATAAGGGTAGAGTACAAGTAGCTATTTGCTTGAGCATTTATCTATGCCAAAAGCTCTTGAAAATGGTATTCATATGGGTAGTACTAGAAAAGCTGGGAAGTAGTATGGATAGTAGCAGTACCTATTGTGATCACGATGTCTTCGGTCTAATCAAAATTAGTCTGATTCTGTATTCAACCACTCGAACAGGATTTTAAAAAATAATAAAATAATAAATAATAAAATAATAAATCATAAAATAATAATTTAAAACTTTAAAACATATGAATAAATTTTCAACTTTATTAAGTTGGTCAAACCGATCAAATCCAACTAAACCAACTAGCCAACACTCATCAAATAGGTTTGACAAATTTCAGCCAAATTTCAGTTTTGCTCGAGTAAATCAACTCAGGCATTGGTCGACGATCTAACAGGTCATATAATGGCCTATCTGATACAATTTCAATAACTATTCTAGTAGCCTAGTAAGAGACAATTCGACAGTATATTAAAAAATTTTAACCTTTGATTTTGGTTTCTAAAATAATTGAGATATTACTTGGATGATGATTTGGTTTCAAAAACTGACGCAGAAAGAAAAAAAAAGAAAAAATATTATTATTATTATTATTTTGAGTTTATCTTTTAACTTTAAGAGGTGCGCACGATTTTGTTCGTGCGTGAGTTGATATTGATTGATTTGGGTTAATTAATTATTGATTGATTTGGGTTAGTTAGTTTGGAATATAAATAGATAAGGCTAAATTAGATGAGGTAGTTTAAGAGTATAAATAAGATAAGGTTGGATTTAAAGGGGGTTTATCTTCTCAACAACATGGGGTTAAAAAGCGGGATAGAAGTAAATATTTGGTACGTGATTTTAAGATAAATAAAATGGAGAAGAAGAGATAAAATAGGAAAAGTATAGAGATAGTTTTTTTTGTTGATATTTATCTTATTTTTATGGAGATTTCTTTCATTGTAAAAAAAAAAAGATGAGTTAATAAAATTTAGTCTGGTGAAGAGATTTTTGAGGTGGATTCCCTTGCAAACCTTGAAAGATGATATATTCTCTCAACATTATCCTTTTATTTTTATGGTATTATTATTTCTTTGCATCATCAATCTGCATTAAAAACTAGATCAACAAATGAGAGTTTCTAATATCCGGGGCCAATTTTCCCATCCTCTACTCTTCCAAGACTCCCAATTCCTCAAGAAATTATCAAACTCTATTTATTATTAAATGTCTTAGGATTCTCATATCCTGCCTAACCACAGCTTTAGGAAATTCCAAAGAACATTCCTTGAAAGAATGTATCAATCATGTATTCAATGATTGTTCGATGAAATTATTAGTTAGCTGGTATTCGTTGTACCTATTCAATATTTTAAGATGTTATTTGCCATATGTTGCTTTTGATTTTATCCTCTCAATATTTTAACTTTGTTCTTATTCCTCCGGACCAATGGTTGAAGCCCATGTGCAACCAACCCACTAAATAGAGGCCATCAATTTTGAAAATTAACATCCTCTTCCAGGCGTTCCCTGTAGCCCTATTATTTTATTACCATACACATGGTGTGCACGGTATCGCATACGGTCGATAGACTGGCCACGCATATATTTTCTGGTAAATGGGTGGTGGAGATGAGCCACTACGCCACAAGCAATCATGGGGTAAAATGTATCTCACTTGAGCCTGAATGCCACTTGTTAACATTCCCGATTGTAGCTCTCAAATCACCCACTCCCAACATTTATTCACTCACCGCACCACACAATAACAAAATGAAATTCAAATTACACCAATTAATGAGGATCTACCGAATTACAATTTCATCCATTGCACTTTTTTTAAAAGGAAATCATTACATGAAATTAATATTTAAAGGGTGCTTCAGGTTTTGCTCTTTAAATGCTTAGGGGGAAGCAACTGAGACAGAGATAGATGTTGAGATGTTTTACAATAACTTCTGCGGCAAGCTTTCCATGCTTCCCCTTCATCATAAAACTTATACCCTTTCCCTTATCCAAACCTCCATTCTGAATGGAGGGTTAAGATTGTTCCAAATTTTGAACGTTCAATCCTCTATTAAACTTGCACTAGCAAAAAAATATTAAAAAAATATTTTCAATAAAATAAAATGACCAAAATACTCCTCAAATTTTCAAAAAGGTATTTTGGTTATTATATTTCATCAAAAAATTATTTTTAATATTTTTTATAAGTACGCCCCAATGAGAAGATGACGTGTATTAAAAAAAAAACTAAAAATAAAATACTTTGTAACATCTGATCTATAAGATCAAACAGTGAGTGGCTCCAAAAAATTGGACGGCTGGATGATAAGAGAGGCATAGATCTTTTATGTTATAAGGGAAGTATAGAAACCTTTCTCGAACTTATGAACTCCGAAAGAACCCATTCCATTAATTATGGGAAAGAAATCAACCAAGAATTTGTAGGAGCCAGGAGTGTTAATGGTATGTGGTTGTTTGAACAAAAAGGACCGAATTACCCCCGATCATATGTTGTTAATCGGCCCCAACAAAACCAAAATTGCAAATTTACCGAAAATGAGGAGACACTGTTGCATTTCCCAAAAAGGATAAAGCTCCCCTCATCAGGAAAAAACAAAGTACACCTGAGTTTCAGGACCTGACCAATTCCAAAATCTCTCTCCCTCTCTCTCTCTCTGCAGCTTATCAGCTGAGAGCCCTAAAGACTACTATACTTAATGTGAAACCAGCAAATAAACCTGAGGCATTATACTCCGATTATAAGATCTTATCTATGGGTTTCAATTCTTGGGGTAAGCCATCAAAGTTCCCTGAAATTAAATTGGACTGCAGCATTGGCCTCTTCCCAAGATCACGAAGCATGCCTTCGGCGAGATGCTCTTTGTTTGGTGTCAGCATTACATAATTTGGGTCAGCCCTTTGGTAGCTGCATTCAATAATTCAGAGTACTAGAATTCAAATACTTTTAAGAGTGAGAACTAATGGCTTAGCAAAAAGGAAAGAGAAATAGAGGAAAAGTACCAATTCCAAAGTGCATACCAGCATAAATATGCATCAGTATGTCAATCATATGTAAGCTGTCTCTCTCTCTCTTTCTCTCTATCTCTCTCTATATATATATATCAATATATATGAAAAAACCTAAAAAATGGCTATAGGCGAAATTCTGCAGTGTTTCGCCACCGCCACGGACTTCTATGTCCTGACAGTTTATTGAACGGACCCACAACGGAGGTGGTTCCACGTGAAGTATTGACCGCCATAGACCTAGTATGTCCGTGACGGTTGAAAAACGCATGCCGTCCGATTTTTTCGGACAGTGATGAGCCTATAGGCGAAAACAATATTCATTTTCACCCATAAGCGTTGCGTAGTCTCTCTCTCTCTCTCTCTCTCTCTCTATATATATATATATATATATATAGTAAGTAGTAGTGTGTCGGTCGACCGTACTACACCTAACTACTACTAAGTAGTACGTACGTACGTACGTACTTATTACTACT